CTTCAAGTTACTTTGACAGTAAACTCAATCTATGTCAGCTGGTCGGAGATAGGGAAGTCCGGATCACTTTGGATAGGAATCCAATTTAAAGTGGTACAAACTGGACACTGAGTAGAACTCAGACCGCAGACCTCTTCGCCATATACCACTACTTGCACGCGTAACCCTGCTGAGTAGTTTGTAAAGGGGATCCACATAGCAACACAACTCGAAACTTTGAAAGTTCCTCGGATGCAACACACTACTCATAAGGTTGCTGAAAACTCTTTGATATCCCCGGACCGGTTTCGCCCTTCTTGGATAGAAGCAGTCCCTGATTTTCTGTCAACCATATTCCCCACTTGAGTCCAAATTTGGCAGATATCACCAGCTATTCTTAGTTGCACGCGAATTTGGTTTTGATGCGAGGCATAATGTTGGCAGAAAGTCGGGGACTTCACCAGCCTGATGAGCCGCAAGAATGGCGAGACCGGTCGTGGGCTGTTGAAGAGTTTTCAGGAACCTTGTAAGTAGCAAGTTAAGTATAGACTATCCATCGCAATATCTCGAATATCGCACCAGCTGAAACATGAGGCGGCCGGGTGCAGCACATTCAGTTGCTTGAAAACATCATAAACGAGAGATTCAGTTGGGTTTCAGGTGAGTATCTTGCGAAACCAAATTTGTTTTCAAATACACGTTTTTGGCTAACATTCTACTTGGTTTTGTTATGCTCTGCTGATGAGCACTCACAAGGTCGGAAGGCCTCGTGAGGGGCCAAGATCCGGGATGTCCTTGACCCGGGGAACGATGCTTTAAGGCATTCTCACCAATGACGAGCATTTCATATTCTTAAGGATCCCCGGGCATCACTAATCTAAGCACTCTTCACCTGAAAAGGCCAGACCACTCTTCTCTTGTACTCTGTGATCCATTTTAGTTGAGACTGTCTCCTAATATCTACCATCATACAACAGGGTGTCATACAGAGTGTCTCATAACAGACGCAAAATTTGATTGGATAACTAAATGTAGCCAATCAGAGAAAGGATAATAAAATTTTTCAGCAACCTTATGAGCAATACATTACAAATACATAAATGTATCGCGATAGCTCGAATATCGTAGCGACTGAAACATGAGGCGGCCTGGTACAGCACATTCACTTGCCTGAGAACATCACAAACGAGAGATTCAGCTGGGTTACAGGTGAGCCTCTCGAAAAATCAAATTAGTTTGCAAATGAGTGTATATTCACTAATTTTGTGCAATTTGGTTTCAAGTAGAACATTGAAGCTGCATTATTTTATTCGCCTGTTGTATCCTGTATCACACGGATTTCAATTGTATCCCCTTTTCAGAGTTGCACTGTTCTCTAGTCTCCGCTCTTGGCCAAACAGAGATTCATCAGTTACTTGCAGAGATGTGCTGATCACTTTGACACAGGTGTAGTAAATTTGGTTTTGCACAGTAAGCGATGGTGCTTTATTCCGTTTGCCCGTCAGGTTCGCACCACTGGGAGTGCCCTCCGCCTCGATAATCACTATCTTTAATGTATGACCTTTACCTGTTATAAGTTGGAAAACCATTTCCCCATGAAAGTGAACCTTTTTCTAAGCTACCTATCTTGAATCAGGCAGCAAACAGCTTTACCTGGATGCAACACACTACTCATAAGGTTGCTGAAAACTCTTTGATATCCCCGGACCGGTTTCGCCCTTCTTGGATAGAAGCAGTCCCTGATTTTCTGTCAACCATATTCCCTACTTGAGTCCAAATTTGGCAGATATCACCAGCTATTCTTAGTTGCACGCGAATTTGGTTTTGATGCGAGGCATAATGTTGGCAGAAAGTCGGGGACTTCACCAGCCTGATGAGCCGCAAGAATGGCGAGACCGGTCGTGGGCTGTTGAAGAGTTTTCAGGAACCTTGTAAGTAGCAAGTTAAGTATAGACTATCCATCGCAATATCTCGAATATCGCACCAGCTGAAACATGAGGCGGCCGGGTGCAGCACATTCAGTTGCTTGAAAACATCATAAACGAGAGATTCAGTTGGGTTTCAGGTGAGTATCTTGCGAAACCAAATTTGTTTTCAAATACACGTTTTTGGCTAACATTCTACTTGGTTTTGTCAGTAGTACAATCACTAGCCGTAAACATGTTTTAGAACAGTCAACAAGCACTGCTCTTTTTAGGGAACCTAACATGGAAAATTTCTTGCCTAGTTTTCTTGCTGAGTAGTACTCACTGACAAACACTTCAAAGTTTGCTGTACTCCTCGTTTCTTCCTCTGGGTGACGTTGTATGATTCAGTTTTCCAAAAGTATTCAAAATGTAGATGTGATAGCCATGGAAGCTCGTTTTATTGATTTAATCGGACGGTCATCTGCCGTCCAAACTAATTTAAAATTTCGAGAAAAAATTTAACGCAGCGCTAACTTTCATTTCGTTAGACATGGTTGACCAACCAATAACTGGTGGATAAAGTAGCATCTGTCAAAGTCTATCTACGAAGAGGTGAATAATTGCCATACGAACACGATAGGTCTTGCAGTTGAGATGGTGAACCACAGTAGATCCTGACTCAAACCAACTAGATGAATCACTGAAAAAGCCAGTCGGATGTTGACTAAACTTTGATAGGGACAGACTTTTCTCCGGACAATGACAATATGGGTTAACATTGTTGTCGGGCACGACCGCACCCAGTTTATTTGAACCGCCATTTCTGGTGTTATCCCGTGATACTGCTTGACGTGGTCTAGCAGGCAACAACCAGTCTACTCTTTGACAGCTCTGGCGATCCATTCTCCGTAGTGCTAGGTCGAGGAGCTAAGCTCTGGAAACTAATCTAGATGAATTGTTTTAGCATCTCTCGCAAACAAAAAAGAGTTGCTGAAACACATTGTAATACGCCTTAGAGTGATCCCTCTTTAGAAAAAACCGTTCAATTTTATTCCCCTGTCGGTTCCTAGCTGCCATGCCACCCGAAGGAAACACGAGGGTCAGGTTGCCAAAGCCTAGACAGGAGAAGTCAAGAGGCTGAGGTCGGGTTCGAATCACGGACCTTCTGGTCAATAAATTCACGCTCTAACCACTGAGTCATCTCGCTCCACCTGATGTTGATGAGGATGATGGCTTCCATTTTTGAAAAAGAGCAGAGATTGCGAGCATTATTAAGAAAGCTAACCAAAGCCAAAGTCCTTCGGCATGTGTTTTACGCCCACAAGGTTCAAAGTCA